AAGAAATTTAGGTCTGATAAATATAATCTTAGCCATGTGAAATTTGAAGTAATGACGATTTCATGTAATAAAGCTGAAAAGATTATATTAGATTAGATTAGATTCCATTATTCTCATTGTACAGAGTACAATGAAATTTTTGCAGCAGTCTAAATGGTGCATTCACACATAACAAATAATTAAAAATGTAAAGTGAGGTACAACTAGAGTGCTGTATGCAAGAAAAATGGAAATATGAACAATTGTGGTATCTTATCACATACAAGGTGTCATGGACCCGGGTTTGGCACGGGAACATGGCATGACACAGGCACAAAAAGGTGGACAACCCTCTGGCGGCTCCAAGAACAAAAACAGGGTTTATTAAACAAAACAGAAAACACTGCGGACACAGCAAAATCAAAGGACCACGAGGGGTCAAAAACTAAAGGGGATTAACAAAGACTAAATAACAAAAACCAAATACACATCTAACACTGAGAATATCAAAACCATCTAACATCACAACCATCAAACAACAACGAACACAATCATCTCAATACAATCAAACACAATCAACGAACCACTAGGGAACAGAAGCAGGGACTTAAATACAGAAACCAAACTGGGTAATAAGACTAACATAGGACAGGTGAGACTAATTAACAGAGATCAGGAAAACAAGGCACAGATGAAACTAATAAACTCAAAGGAACAAAACAGGGAAACTAAGAACTAACCAAGGAAACAGCAACCACCACTAGGGAATTACAAACAGGTAAAGACACAAGCAGGGGCACAAGGATTAAAACAAAAACCAACTACAAAATCAGACACAAGAACCAGAGAAACTCAAATGAAACACTAGGGAGCAAAATACAAAAACAGAGGCGGTGGGATTCAAACACAAGACAGAAGGATTCACAGACAACAGGATGCTCAATGTGTTGAGCCATGAGGCTGACAGAAAATACAGGAAACACAAAGACTAACATGAAGGACGGGATGACCAGCAATGCCTGCTGGCCAAACGGGGAAGGGACACAGAGTGGAACAACGGGGGCTGACCCTGACACAAGGTGCAGTAAATTTAATCACCAGTGCATTTTATATATATAAGGTGCAGCTGGATGTAAACATTTGCAATATTGTTTTAAAGTGACTATAGTGATAAAATTGACATATGAATACTGTTGGACACTGGACATCACACAAGACATAACATAATAACCATAATAGCAAAAAAGTATGGGCATAAATTACCACAGATAGTTGAGCTATTGCACCGAGGTTGCTATAGACCCATATGTCAGCTGTTTGTCTGTGATGTGATGGACCTGAAAAGTATTTACTCAATAAAAGGATTTTAGTAAACTAATAAAAATATCTCATTATTTGAAGTTGGTTGGTGGTGTGTGGTTTAATGGGTTAGGATGCTGTGACTGTGATTGGAACATCACTGATTTAAACACCAGTGTCAGTAGAATTATTTCACTTATGGGCCTATGACAAGGCCCTTAACTCGCCAGATGCTCTAGGGATTGGATGATCCTGCTTCCTAAAAAACAGTTATGCTGTTTTGGATAAAAGCATCTGATAAATAAATTAAAAGTAAGGCTTGAGGCATCTTGATCATGTATTACAAAAGCAAGGAAGACAATACACACTTCCTCCACGTAATGTAGTTAATGTACTTATTACAAATATTTCTGTTTAAGTAACCCTTTCCTGGTATAAATATTATATTGAAATCTTCATCATGGCATGGATTTCTACAGGTGCTTGTACAACAGTAATGCCTCATTCATCAATAATTTCAAGTTCTTGTATTTATTTAATTTTCTGGGGGAGGGTATTTCCAGCCTGCCTCAGTTTGTGTGTGTGTGTGTAATTTTTATTAACTTGTATAAACTATTTATTTACCTGAAAGGGACATTAACATTTTATTACACTTAGAAATTGAAATATAAAAATGTTCACAAAACATTAATTTACACAGATTTTTTTAATTCAGTTTAACTTTGTGAATTTCAAATTCAGTTCCAATTCTGCTTCTTCTAGTTTTTCCCCAATTCCAATCCCATTTCTTTATCTGAATTGGAATTGATGTATTCATTAATGAATGGCCCACAACCCACTTGGGCAAGATACTCCAAAATTGGTATACTTCATTACAAAGGCGTAACTTTGGCTGGAACACTGGGGGGGGGTTGAGGTCTCCACCCATTATGGGGGAAACATGATTATTGGGGGGGTTGTATTAGCTGGTTTTGATTTATTGGGGGGGGGCTACACCCCCATCCCCCCATAATTTACGCCCATGCTTCATGATGATCATTGCTGGCTTTATAATCTTGGAAAGAGGTATCTGCTTTGTCTTGCTCAGCACACTGTGACTATAATCCTCACCAAAAGTGATCTAAAAAGGGATGGATGAACCAAAGTGTAATTTCCTGGTGTGGTAATTACCTTTGGCAGAACAAAATGTTAAATATTTTTTCTTTCTGAATGTTTCTTGTAAATATTTATTAGATTTTTAGGCTGAGAGGAATTTTCCACTGAGAGGAATTTCTTCTTTATTTTATTTAAGGACTGGTGTCTTCATCTGTTATGTGGTATGCTTTCATATGGCTCTTTTCTGTTGGCCTTCTCCTCAGGGTGCATCACACACTTTGTTGTCGCTGATAGGGACATCCTTATATTTCTTCAGGATGTGTTAGTCACAAGGTGGATGCCAAAACTAGAGACCAAGGCACATCTAGTGCAACCTCAGAAAACCCAGTACAGTTCCATCTCACACTTTGCTAACAGTGACATGGGGACCCACATGCACCTTCAGAAATTAGCATTGGCTTAAGTTTTCTTATTAAATAGCGACACACGGTGGTCACAGACGATAAGTTTGCTTCTTAAGCATTAGGTCTGTGCTGTGTATGTATTTTAATGTCAGTGTTTCCAAATACAGTGGTACCACAGAACTCGAAATTAATCCGTTCAGAACTCCGGATCGAATGCTAAAAAGTTCAGGTTCTGATCGAATTTTCCCCATAAGAAGTAATTGAAAACCAATTAATTGGTTCCCGGCCCCAAAAAATTACACCTAAGTATGTTTTTTTAGCATTTAAACACAAAATTTACCGGATAAAACAAGACGAGCATATACTGTACTAAACACATCTAAGCACATTTATCAAAACAGTACTTTGTAAAGTAAGAAAATAAATGTATCCAAACAATGTGTCCTGCCCCGATCATCTGCTCCTTCCGTGAGCCACGCCCCCTTGTTAACCCTGTGTGGAATCCCCGTGTGATCAGCTGTCACTGGTTGTTGTCATGAGTCCTCTGTATTTCGTCCGCGTTTCAGTTTGTTTCCCCAGTCTGGTCATTGTTTTGTCCGTTTGCGTTTTGCCTGCCTTACCTGTAATTAAACCCTGTATTCCCCGATACCCTGACGTCTGCGCCTTTATCTCCGTTCTGTCCCCGTTCAGCACGACAATATTATTATAATTAAATGTATTAATGGTTTATTATTAATATTAAAACAATTAATTAGAAATCTTTATTTTAAAATGTATTTTATTATATAATAATAATTACTGTTACTTTCTGTCATTGTCTAAATGTATTTTTACTGTCTAAATATATGTATTCAGTTTGTGTAAACATGCACGGTGCTATCACAGCGAATGCGAGGCTGAGACTGAAGCTTTACCCTTTCTTTCCGCTGAGAGACATGCCACGTGACTCATTTCCCCACCCGTGCAAGTTATCTTAGGTCGGCGTTCACGGTTTGACTTCTGAGATTCAGATCGAGTACTAGGTACATTTTTTCCGAAGTGGTTGGTTCGACTTTTAAGAAATTCGAGTTCTAATGAGTTTGAGAACTGAAGTAACACTGTAATACAATTCAAAAACTGCTCTTCTAGTACAGTGGTCTGAACAGCTGTGCTGTGTGAGATTAAATTTATTATTATTGATCACTGACAAACTTTAGCGTTTCTTTTACTGAAATAGATTAATGGAGGTCCTTCACAACATATGGCTGTTTTAAGTCATGTAAGCTAAATGTGAACTTTTTTTTTTCGTGTGCACCTTCGGCGTTTCCTTAGTACTGGCGCCCCTTCTGCGCTACGGTGTTTGCGACACGTGAAAAGAAGTCCGCTTGTGTGTGTGTGTGTGGCGGGTTGGGGGCAGAAAGGCATTGTAGCAAGGTTAAAATTCAGGAAGACGTGGTTTTCGAAGTAAACATTTGTGAGATGAAAGATAGAACACCTTTGCCAGGTGGCTATAGACTATACGGTAAAATACACACACACGCACGCACGCACGCACACACATACATACACACACACACACATACACACAGAGGTTTGTAATTATATCTTTGTGGGGACTCTCCATTCATTTCTATGGGGAAAATTAATCACAACATGCCGACCATAACCAATACCCAGCCTTAACCTTAACCATATATAACCAAACACAATACAAGACTTCTGGCATTTTTACTTCTTGATTGCATTCACAGATCTTTGTGGGGACCTGGAAAATGGTCCCCACAACGTAAAAAAAACAGGTTTTAATTACACTGTGAGGAATGTAATTACACTGTGGGGAACATAGTAATATAAACCTAAACAACAAATGTCTGTGTGTGTGTGTTATCCTATAGTCTATAGTGCAATGCATAATTTATTTTTAATTTGTGTGATTCAAATGCTAAATATGGTTCCACATAGATATATGTGTAATCGGCTCATTTATAGGCCTATGTGTTATAAAGTATTGTAAGCAAACACAGTTTATATTTGCTATCAATGCAGAATAATTTATTTATTAAAAATAACCAGCTACGTGTAAGTACCAAAACAGATCACAATTAAAGTTTCACTTTAGATACACGTACAGGGCCTACATAAATAACTGTTGGCTAATTAGATTGCAGCCGGTCATGGTTTCTTTAACTTGCTTTTTGAATTTATATAGGCCTACAGGTGAGATAGACAGAGGAAAATCTGAACTGCTTTTAAAAACTTTTTATTTGGTTAAAAGTGAAAATGAATTTACAATAATAATATAAATTGTACATCAAATTTCATGCAAATATATTAACAAATCCAGAAAGTATCCATCAGTTTTTAAATTTCATTTATGCTTTTGTTATATTTAGCAGTGCTGTTGTAAAGTATCTTTCATACATACTAAAAGGGCAAAATGCTTGCCAAGACTATATAATTTCCAAGCAATTGCAAGTCTATGTATCTACAGCATATTTGGGGATATTAAGGGTATGTAAGGTTGAATTTGTTTGAAAGATTAGCCATTTTACAGGACCCACATCAATGCAGTTTATAATCAATTTTAAATTTATATTTGGTAGAGAATTTAAATTAATTGAAAACAACTTGTAAAAAACCCTGAGCTCTTCGTAGGCTTTTAATTTTAAGATCCACCATTCTGGATACTATCCTTCTGAAAATGCCCAGAATCAAAGTATAAGGCTAAGACTAAGATCACCTTACTCACAGACTCATCCTTGGAACAATATGATGATATGAAGAACTGGTGTTTTAAATCTGACCAATCCATTATAATCTGGAACTCCAGTTCATTTAAAAAACAAAGCAATTCAGATGTTTATGTATATGTGTACATTTGTGTGCATATGAGTACTGTGATGTCATTAGGTTTAGTTCATTCTATAATACGTATTTAGAAAACATTGCCTGTATTTTGTCAAATACGTTTTATACGACATTCACATATAATTATAAAATACTGAAGATGTTTAAGAAAACACCATGCATTAAAGCCTACATTTTTCTGAAAAAAGAGAGTTTTTACTTTTTTGCAAAACATATAGAAGTTCATTTTGTTCCTGACATTAAAGCAGCAAGTTCCAGGAAATTATAATGATAGTTATACATGTATATATTATAAATGCTCACAGTTAATACATTAATGATAAAGGAAAATTTTCAAACGCGATCTAATAATTCTGCTACATTTTGCATGGCAGCTTTTCGCCACACATACAGCAAGGGTGTCAGTCTCCACTCTGTTCATATGGCATGGCAATGTCCATCTGGGCTTTTATTTAAATCATGCTAAACTGATGCTTGTCCAGAGTTTAGATTAACTGCCTCAAAGTATAACAATAACTGAATGACGAATACCAATGAATAATGCACCTTACATTTTCTTTTATTAGTCAAAAATTCTCTTTATTAATAAGCCATAAATAACTTATAAAATGAAATTTAATAATTAATTCTGCATACTATTTTCCAAACAACAAAGGCATATTTTCTCATAATTGAAAATAAAAAAGCTTGAAAACAACACTGAAAGCTTACTTTTGGTTTCAGTTATTACAGTTAGGCATTTGAATTAACATGAAATAAAGAACTGGTTAAGAGTTGAAACAAAGCGATAATCTTGGTCTGAATCTTAAGTGGTCTTTAAAAGTAAATCCAGCATTCCCCCTGGCCTATTAGAGCTGGTTCATGACAGCTGTAGACCACAGCAGTATTTGCTCTTTGTCCTTTCATTCATGGCTTTGACAATCAGTACCATGTGCTGTAGTTGGATGCCAACCTGTCGTACTGCCAGTTTGGATCTTTTAATGCAGTTTAATTCCTCCATCACTGACAGGATATAGACTTTAGATCTGTTGAGAACTAGTGGTGTGTTTGTGCATTGTTTGTCTTCTTTGTCGTGATGCTTCAGAACATTGTTGTGTCTTTGTGAGCTTTTCCACTGCACTAGATATTGTACTTTTGGTAAGTTCCAAAAGTATGGTTGCTAGTGCAGTGGAAAAGTACCCCTTATATTGATTTTGTCTGTGTTTGAGCATGGAGCAATTACTTAGAGAAACTTGTACTATGCTAAGCATTTACTTGGAAATTGTCATTTCTGTTTTGCTGCTAAAAGATAATGAGTTTCATATCCTCCGGAGTGGCAGGTATGATGCAGGAGCATCAGTTGTGGCAGGTATACAAGTAGGTGCTGTTGATGCTCCATTCTGCTGGGAAGTCCTTCGCAGGGTGAGTCTTGATGTGCTTCTGCATGGCGGCCAGGCTGCTGCAGAACTCCAGGCAGATGGTGCACTGGTAGGGTGCAGCGCCCCCATGTGTGCGGAGGTGCTTGATCATTGCTGAGTAGTCGCGGGAACGCTGGCCGCACAGCCGACACTCGAAAGGTTTCTCACCTGTTTTGGGGGGGGGGGGGGGGAGGATATGATGTGGGATTGGCCTAAGTTGCTTGAAGGTTTGCGAGTCAACAAAGATGATGCCGACTGCAGGAACACTCAGCAAGGCAGAGAAAGTGTGCTTAAGCTTACTACTGTTATGCTTATCTGAGGCTTTCATTATAAGTGACCGGTAATTAAATTTGGAGTAACGGAAGTTTCAGACATAGCAATAGTTCCTACTGGGACAACCTTTGGGCTACATATTTTTGCCCTTAGCTACTGTCATACTTGCTGCCTGGAGACATAAACAAATTTCCCCTGATCTTAGGGCCACAATAGGGCAAACTGTGTGGTTAGGGTGCATGTAGATGCAAGGCAAGGTAGCAGAGTGACTGTGCAGGTGAGATTGCTGCATGCAGGAGTGCTGCATAGGCCATGCACTGTACCGGTATGCACCCTATGGTGGGTGTCTAGTTGGTGCTTCAGGCTGAACCTCTTGGGGCAGCGTTCGCACTGATAGGGCTTCTCCCCACTGTGGACACGGCGGTGGGAGCGCAAAGAGCCCTCATCACGGAAATAGCGCCCGCAGTACTTGCAGCCCAGTGTCATGTCGCTTGGGCCTGCAAGAGAGTTAAAGAGACACAAAAATGGGAATTAAGGAACAAAAAGTGTATGACATGGAGGAGTAAAGGAATTATTTGTTTTAATATTTGGATACTCCGCAACCTGCTAAAATGTTAGGGAGCTATAACGATATATAGGGTTCCAAGAAGGATACTTTTTTTCTTAAATCTAAATGTAATTCTGAATATAAATTGTAAAACACAAAATAACGCTTCAGTGAGGAATTTGGTCTGTTGGATTTCGGCAGCATGACCCACGTGTGTGCAGCCTTTGGTGGCGGCGTAAGGCGGCATGGCTGGGAAAGGAGCGTCTGCAGTCGGTGCAGATGTGGCCCCAGATCGTGCTGTGCAGAGACTGCTGCTCCCTGGGGGATGCCTGGCTCCTGAAGCTTTTGCCACAGAGAAGGCATAGCAAAGACTCTGCCGGTGCTGCAGAGAGGGGTGTGGAGGTTACTGTCTGTAGATACACAGAACGGTTTCCGCTTTAGCCCAAAATGCAAGCAGTCCAGTCTCTGGCTACATTTTCTGTTTATTTGGTGAATTAATTCACATAATTGTGCATGCGATGTTTAGTAAATTAGATTTTGGGAAAGACTGGAAAATCTGTAAAGTTGCTCTTCAAGAAAATCCATGTATAATGGGTGCGTTATATGGGTTAGTACAGGAGTGGGCAATATTATCAAGAAAGGGCCACTGTGTATGCAGGTTTTTGCTGCAACTCCGTAAATAAAATTGCCCACCCCTGGGTTAGTAGAAAGGTTTCTGCTAGGGATGTCCCAGTTTTCTTGTTACCCAGATCTGATCCATTCAACATTTATATCTGCCAATTCTGAGTTCTGAACCCATTTAATAAATATTTACATACAGATACATACAGTAGTTGTCTGTACATTCATCTGAACGATTTCACTGTTTTCTTTCTTATGCTGCAAGTGCCTAATTAGACTCATTGTATTAAATGATGCTCTGTTGCTACCTCCTCTTGATGGCATGGTGAAGGATGGCATTGCAAACATTACAGGTAGCTGTGGGGCTACATTAAGTTTCCCATTTAAAGAATTTACACGACTAATACTTGGATAGTTTGTAGTTTCAAGCCATGTGCCTCAGGCTTACTGCAGGGTGTGATGGAAGTTTACAATCTTTGCAAATGATATGAATTAGGCAGACACAGGAATTTAAATAAATGGCGCTATGGTATCCGATACCGATCAATTAAGAAATGCCTGGATCGGCCCTGACTCTGATCTTTGATATTGGCTTGGAATATTGATTTCTGTAGTCATTTGGTAAAAATAGTTTTGAGTTCATATAATTACAGGAAGATACTTTTCTCCAATTCAAGTTACATGTGAGCAAACAGAAACAGGCAGTCTCTAGAACAACTAGACTTTGCTCATAGGCCATACAGTGAAATAACTTTTCTAGTCATGGGATTTGAACCAAACAATCTTCTGATCACAAGCACTAACTGGCAGAGCCACACACTACCCCAGATTAAAGTCAATAATCTCATATCCACACTGGGTGATACACTGGTTGTAATGGAACCAGAGTTAAAATGGAACCACACTCACTCCAATAATTATTGAAAAAATGCCTTCAGCTTTTCATGCCACCAAAATAAAAGCTATTATTTAGGACCTCTGTGGCACTAATAAACATATTGCCAGAACACATGAACACAGTATGTCCTCAGACTTTAGTGAAAACCTGCATGTCTAGTACCTCCTATTATGGGGACCACAAAACAGTGTAGTGTTTATTTCCACAAAAATGAAAATATAGGTTTTCTTTTTCCTGCAGTCTGCATAGTTGTTGTAAGGGTATTTAGCCAAAATGTTTAGGGAGGTAGCTTTTTGCAGAAATACTTAAAAGTTTATCTGTTCTAGCAAACGTCACATATGTTGTGGCATTTGATCTGTGCGTCAGGGTGCATGCCAAAGTAGGAATTAAAAGCCACCTACTGTACAGTAACATACAGTCTAGTACAAAGGCCCTGTAAAAGAGCGCACTTCTGAAACCAATCAGATAAATAGCTTACAGAAAGGATGCGGTTTGGTTTGTCTGTTTGTGTTTGCATTGCACCCACAAAACCAGCCAGATAAACTGTTTCAGAGTTAACGTGGGTTGCCGTTCAAGATCCATGGCGTGTTCTACACAAGATGGCAGATGGGTGAGGCAGGAGGACAGCAGTCCCTCGTGAAGATGAAATAAAACGACTAGTGGTCGCTGCTTCTTGGGGACGGAACCACATCCGTTGTCAGTACAAAGCGAAAGAAACAGGAACAAAAATGGCGGATCTTTTTTTTTTATAGAGTACATGTTTATACATATTTAATTGTATATAATTTATTTCATACTTTATATATGTTTCATATATATTTAAAATATTAACTTTTAATATCATTCATAGTATATATACTTTAGGTTAAACTATTGTGTGTGTGTGTGTGTGTGTGTGTATATATATAGTTTTATGTGAAGTATATGGATTATATATTTCATATAATATATTTACATCCATCCATCCATCCATCCATTATCTCAAGCTTATCTGAGGTCAGATCGCGGGGGCAGCAGTCTCAGCAGGAAACCCCAGACTTCGGCCACTTCATCCAGCTCCTCTGGGGGAATCCCGAGGTGTTCCCAGGCCAGCCGAGAGACATAGTCCCTCCAGCGTGTCCTGGGTCTTCCCCGGGGCCTCCTCCCAGTGGGACATGCCCGGAACACCTCACCAGGGAGGCGTCCAGGAGGCATCCTAATCAGATGCCCGAGCCACCTCATCTGGCTCCTCTCGATGCGGAGGAGCAGCGGCTCTACTCTGAGTTCCTCCCGAATGACCGAGCTCCTTACCCTATCTCTAAGGTAGAGCCCAGCCACCCTGCGGAGGAAACTCATTTCGGCTGCTTGCACTCGTGATCTCGTTCTTTCGGTCACTACCCACAGCTCGTGACCATAGGTGAGGGTAGGAACGTAGATCGACTGGTAAATCAAGAGCTTTGCCTTTTGGCTCAGCTCCTTCTTTACCACGACAGATCCGCCTGTCGATCTCCCGCTCCATCATCCCCCCACTCGTGAACAAGACCCCAAGATACTTAAACTCCTCCACTTGGGGGAGGACCCCATCCCCGACCTGGAGAGAGCATTCTACCCTTTTCCGGCTGAGGACCATGGTCTCAGATTTGGAGCTGCTGATTCTCATCCCAGCCGCTCACACTCGGCTGCGAACTGTCCCAGCGAGAGCTAAAGGTCACGGTCCGATGAGGCCAACAGAACCACATCAACTGCAAAAAGCAGAGACCTAATTCTGGGGTCACCAAACTGGACACCCTCAACGCCTTGGCTGCGCCTAGAAATTCTGTCCATAAAAACTATGAAAAGAATCGGACAAAGGGCAGCCCTGACGGAGTCCAACCCTCACCGGAAACAAGTCCGACTTATTGCCGCTCATGCGGACCAGGCTCTGGCACCGGTCATACAGGGACCGAACAGCCCTTAAAAGGAAGCCCGGCACCCCATACTCCCGGAGCACCCCCCACAGGACTCCCCGAGGGACACGGACGAATGCCTTCTCCAAGTCCACAAAACACATGTAGACTGGTTGGACAAACTCCCATGAACCCTCCAGAACCCTGCGGAGAGTATAGAGCTGGTCCACTGTTCCACGGCTGGGGCGAAAACCACACTGCTCCTCCTGAATCCGAGGTTTGACAATCCGGCGGACACTCCTCTCCAGAACCCCCGAATAGACCTTATCAGGGAGGCTGAGGAGTGTGATCCCCCTATAGTTGGAGCACACCCTCTTGTCCCCCTTCTTAAAGAGGGGGACCACCACCCCGGTCTGCCAGTCCAGAGGCACTGCCCCCGATGTCCACGTGATGCTGCAGATGCGTGTCAACCAGGACAGCCCCACAGCATCCAGAGCTTTAAGGTACTCCGGACGGATCTCATCCACCCCCGGGGCCCGGCCACTGAGGAGCTTTTTAACCACTGATCCAAACCTCATGCCCCAGCTCAGGCTCCTTCCCCATCAGAGAGGTGACATTCCATGTCCCAAGAGCTAGCTTCTGCAGCCGAGGATCAGACCGCCAAGGTCCCCGCCTTCGACCACTGCCCAGCTCACTTCTCCTATAGGTGGTGAGCCCATCGGAGGGGGGACCCACGTGCCTTGTTCGGGCTGTGCCCGACCAGGCCCCATGGGTATAGGCCTGGCCACCAGGCGCTCGCTATTGAGCCCCACCCCCAGGCCTGGCTCCAGGGGGGGGGCCCGGTGACCCGCGTCCGGGCAAGGGAAACTGTGGTTCCATTATTTTGTGCATCATTAGGGATCTTATAAGCCGCACTTCGTCTGGTTCCTCACACCGGACCTGTTTGCCTTGGGTGACCCTACCAGGGGCATAAAGCCCTGGCCAACTTAGCTCCTGGGATCATTGGAACACGCAAACCCCTCCACCACATTTATATACATGATTACATACATTTAATCATGTATATAATGTATAGTAGTAATTATTATTATCCGTGCAGATAATGACTTTGACCTGTACAGCTTCTTCAAGGTATTGACCAATGCTCTGCAGCAATAGGCACAACTTGAACATTGGCAATTCTCCTGTTTTATTGTATTACCGTGTGAATTATTGTGTCTATCATTGTGTTTTTTGAGCCACTGCATGCCTAAATTTCCTTCGGAATTAATAAAGTGTCTATCTATCTATCTATCTATCTATCTATCTATCTATCTAACCCAACCCAACCCAACCCAACCCAACCCTAAGCCAATGGGATACAAACAATAGGGGGCCATAATATTGTTGTAGTATTGCCAAGACTGATTTTAAACCTTCCCTTTTGTTGCATGATATATTTCAGATTTCTCGATGCCCTGTCACAAACTACACAGTTGCAGGAAACAGACTCCATAAACTGGAGTCAAGTTCACATCCTTCAACAATGTGACAGTTTTAAAAAATAAATCCACAACACTGAAAGATTTTGTTAATCAGCAGGTGATGTCTGGTGTTAAAAGATATTTATCATGACTCAGATATCTGAAAATCGTTGGGTCGACATTGCTAATCTAGTTTATTGTATATTTCTAATTTTATGCAGGAACCAGTTTGGATTGTAAAGGACATGGAGTTGCAACATGCAGATAATCACATCAAGTTTCCAGTAAGATACCCAGCTGCCATAAATAAAATGGGTCATTTTTGATAAAAGCATCAGCTATACAACTACATGTATGCTACCTGTTGATATGGTGACCAGATAATCCTTGTCAGGCAGGATACTTTTAGCTACTTCAGGTTTTACAGACTACTTTGAAACTGAAAAGCTACTGTGCTTGGCTAATTAGTTCTTCTTAAGCTTTGACTGGTTTGTTTCTTTGATTTAAAGACTCATCCAGCTGTTTGACATTAGCATTAGTAACCCATGCATAATTATAAGAGACTGACCAATCAGTTAACAGGAAGAACTCAGTGCTTAAGTGAAATCTTGGTCCTTTTAAGTGAAGTGGTAGTTTACAAAACCTGTCCTAGCTGGAAGTGTCCTCCCTGACATGGACTATCAGGTCACCCTACCTGTTAATGTTCCTTTTTTGTGCCTCAGCAATTAGCCTCACATCTATTGTGGGGGTTGGAATCCCTTAGCTTTTGGAGCTTGTGTATTCTCACTGTGTACATGTAGGTTTCCTCCAGGAACTCTGGGCTTCCTCACACAATTCAAAAGTGTTTGACTAGTTGAGTTGGTATCTCTGAATTGCCATGTGACAGACAGGCATCCCATGCAGGCTGTTTTCCTGCCTTGATACCTCTACTTCAGGCTTAATATTTAATCGTTTGTGAAACTGTATACCAAAAAAATAGCAAACAGGTTTAAACAGTATCAGAGGCCTCTGCCAGTCACCAACACTGGCTGAAAATGGTGGCTCTGTTTTGTATGTAAATGTCCTTCAGAGTTACTCCATTGCCTTATATGACAGCAGACTTTGTTTTTTCGCATTTCTGAACAGATAGAGTGGTGCTCCATGCTGCTACAATGCTGAAGGTGTGATCTTTTTTTGTTGTGGACCTTAGTTAACTTGACACTTCTAACATGAGGTTGTCCAAGCATGACAGGGGGCCAGCAGAGAGCGGAGAAGATTAGGGCGGCCACAACAAAGGACCTTTACACATGAATTAGCTGAAGGGACCCCTGATCCAAAATGATGTTTTTACCTTGTGATTGAGATATCCTTTCTCTGTTATTATCTATTATTGCCTAATTCCACATAAAACAATTAGAATATGGTTATGCTGCATAACAGAAAAGTACTATTATAAGAAAAGTAACTGTTTAAAAACCCGGTGTGGAAAAAAACATCATCTATGCTGCCCCTTTATTTTTGCATGTAAAGAAAGGCTGAGTGTGTGGTGTATTGGCTTGCTTCTTGCCGACACTGATAAGAATCAGCACATCATGTACTGTACGTATTGCCGGCTGGCTCACTATAACAATTGTGCACTGTAAAAGTGTGACTCGAATTTAAGGGGAAATCGTAAGAAAACGAAAAATCATCTTTTATTTTTCCTCTGGCAGATTTCCAAAACCACTAGTTTGTGGCAGAACATGCTGTTCATTATGCCGGGTAACTACACTGATGATCATAAACCTGTGTTCTCCTTCACTTACTTGCCTGAATGCCATTTTTATTTCTCTCTCTCTCTCTCTCTCTCTTAACAAATGAGGGGTCCAGAGCTGTGTTTTTGTCAAAAAAAAAAAAAACCACAAAATGTTTTTAGCTGTATGATGCATGCACTATGTTACAAACATAGTTTGAAATGTTTTCCTAAATGGCAGTTTGAAAGTGTAGATTGAATTGAAAAGTTATAAACATACAAAATGTGCATTAATCAAATATTTTCTGGATTGCAAAAATTATACTGTATTTTAATCATCTGTATGTGTTCCAATGATGTTTAAAAATGGTCTGTAAATACAAGGAAACACTATCCATTATGTCATAATTATATATACAAAAAATGTAGATTAATGTAATTGACAAGGATGGTCGAATTGGGGTGGTAGGTGCCATAATCACCCGGGTGAGAAACAGCGTGGGTCTGGAGAAGGTGGCTGTCTCGGATCTCGCCAGGCTGCTGACAATGGAATGTCTTGTCTATTGCTTCTGGAAGCTTCCTGGAGAACAAAGGATGGGCAGAGAAGCTACTTTAGCTGCTTGAACCACTCTCCCACCACATTTTTTCCTCTGCTAAAAAAAAGGAGCAGGTGTCTGGCTGAGGTTTCAGTCAAGGTTACTGTGTCACATGAATGCCATTTTGACTGCGCATAATGTCATGCTGTAGTAAGTTAGTCAAAGCAGAACACTTGCTAAGTGGACCTATGATAGCAGTTGAAACTGGATCATAGCAATAACAGTGGTACAAAAACAATGCCGATGTATTCATCAGAAGTATTGCACTTCGTGTGTAATTCTGTTTCTAGACTGTGCAGTGACATTGTGGTTTATCTTTGAACATATATGTTTCCTGGTAAAGGGGGTATGTAACAGCAGTATGGATGGTGTGAAAACAGGTATGTGAGCATGTTAACATCTCTGCTCGAAACATCCTGTCCTTCCTCTAACCGCTTTGGCCACAATATATTAATAACATCTTGTTTATAGCTTTAGGTGACAAATGCTAATAGATTTTGGGTATATTTTGGATTAATTCAGATTATTCTTGAGGATATGTCAGTGTGGTTTGCAGAAAAAAACTACACTGAAATAAAGTTGTTTTAAAAAAAAAATAAAAATTATTCTTGAGGATATGTCAGTGTGGTTTGCAGAAAAAAACTACACTGAAATAAAGTTGTTTTTAAAAAAAAAAACACTGATGTAATCATTTTTGTGCAAAACTAATCTGGCCTCATGTTTTGCTGTTCCCAGGAAAAAGTTATGCTTTGCATACTCTATGCATGTTTACATAACATTAGGTTAGAGATCTAGGAAAGAGAGGTATCAGTGAAAATGATATTAAATTATTAATAAATAACTAAAACATGCAGAGTAAAGGTAGTGTAACCAAGTGGCTTAATCTAGGGGACGTGTATTCTGGGGGAAGCTGGTTCTTCAGTGTGAGAACAAAAATTTTACTGTTAACCGTTATGATAGACATTTTGGGTTTAGTATTAACTATAGTACATCATTTGTTTTGTATTTGGCAAAAAAGTAATTTACGAAAGACATGCACAGTATGTATGTGCTGCTGCACTTTTTAGTCTTCACAGTAAACATTAAGCACAAGTAGCAGGCATCTGAAATTGCATTTAGGTGAAAGGAAATGAGCAGAGCTCTTAACTGACAAGGATTAGTGATAAAGATCTGCAGGAGGACCTGAGGAGATAGTGTCTCTGAAAACATTCTTGCAGTTTCAGATTTAAGGGGCCCATATCAATGATTTCGAAGTTGTACATTTACTGTAGGAGGCTGATTCAATTTTACCCTCAACCTTCAACAGATCTTGTTATAAAACTGAATAATTTAAGGGGGATGGGGACTTGTGGACTCAATGCAGGCAAAGTAGAGAAGGAAAAAATGATAACGTAAATCTGACATATGTCATACGGTAGTGGGAGAATCTGCAGACAGTGTCTAAGAATGAGAGTGAAACAGCGTGTGCTGATCAGTGGGTGGACCTCTAGGCCTTTCATGTACCTGTTTGCAGCACAGGGAGAAATAGGGGGGAAATCCCCAGCAAGACTGATTGTTAATAGATACTGTACTCTATCTTTAACTGATCTGGTTCCAGTGATCTTTCTTTGGAACAAAGACACCACAAGTGTTTACATGGGCTTTCGCTGTTGTTGTTAGCGTTTACAGCATCCTTTATGACAAGTTAATTACAAGGCAAGTCCAAAAGAGTCACTGGGTCAAAGTAACATTTTCACCCCTTGGTCTACCAGTTTTGATATACTACTCCTAACCTTTTTTGCTATAATTTTGCTACAACAGGGTTAGTTTTTGTATGTGAACAGAATGTGGATGCTGGATTAGATTATCGATGGATTGGCACATGCATAAAATATAGTTTCTCTTAACTATATTACTTCAACAATTTTGTGCATAGATGTTAACTATGATGAAGGTTGAGAAGAATCAGAGCATGGAGACTACAAGTATGTCTGGCTTTCTACAGATCTAGCATCATTGTAGGGGAAATTAAAGTAAGGGAAACTGTGAATATAGAAAAGTATGACAGGAAAATACTCTCACTGACACACGCACACCTGTGAATTGGCTAGTTCTTTAGCATTTAGGCAAATGAGGGAGACTCTGAATTCTTGTTTTGAGACTATGAATCAACTGCTTTAACCCATTAAAAAGGGAACATTCATTCTAGATGTGAAAACACTGCGTAATGGGAGCTGTCTTACCTCTTGTCATCCTCAGCAGTGCTACCCATCAGTGCTCCATCCACCGAATCACCTTTACTTGGTAAATTATTCTTGACTGTCATTGCCAGCTCATGGGATCCAGGCAGGAGTGCAGGATGAAGAGGGTGGAAGATCCCTGCGTAGCCCATAATGGGATTGTGGCCTTGGGGCAGGGCAGGTGAGGAAAAGAGGGGGTACATGGGATTTGGCACAGGGAAGGGACATGCCACTAAATGTTCCGGGGGGTGGAGAGAGCGAATGGCCATGAAGTCAGTGCTAGTCAGAGTCATGCGTGGAGAAGCAGTGACCGGATGCCATCCTAGCCTAGGAGATCGGCAGGAAGAGGGGTTGGGCAGTCTTGTGGTAGTGCTAGCTATCACACTTACCCTTGGAGGCACAGTAACAGGTAAGGCATTGTCTGTCTTGGGTTTTTTGTAGTGGTGGGGAGGAGATGGAGAAGTAACAGACTGTTCCTCCAGTGGTGGACTGCTTGGAAGCATCTCTGTGAGTCCCTCTCCCACTATCCCAGCCACTTCCAGTGGTGCCAACAGCTGCCTTCCACCAGCTGTCAAGTTCAGGGTCTCAAGCTGAGCATGGCACTGTTGCCCAAGCTGATGCATTTCTAAGAGCTGGGCTGCATTTAGAAGTTCACGTAGGTCTTCAGCAGAGACCTCAAGGGTCTCCATGTAAACATAGTCAAGAATCTGCTGGAAGGTGTGGGAAGAGAGTCTATTGAGAGTGCAGTGGTGTTGCTGGCCATCTTCTTTGCTAGTAAGATGGTTCTCCAGCTTCTTGCTGGCACAAGCCAGCACAAGACTGTGGGCCTTGAATGTCTGGTTTTCCACCACAATGACTGTGTCACAGAGAACACCGGACAGCCGCATCTTATTGGCTTGACACAAGAAGTAGGAAAACTGTTGGTTGTGGAGCTGGATCTTCATTGTGGAACTTGGTAAGGATAGAACAGCAGGTAGAGAACGGTGAAAAAAGACTTGGGTTTGAATGTTGTGTAAGAGATCTCCATTCAGTTTGCTGGAGACAGAGAAATAATAAGGCAGGATGTGGGAATTTATCATTTTTTGGTCATTTGAGTAAAGTCAATAAAACAAGAACTTCTGTTTCTAGTTTGGCTAGTACTCTTATGTTGTAAAGATGGATGGTACATAATGATTTTGGAAAAAGCTATTTCGAGTTTTTAATAGCTTGATAAGTATTATGTTTATTTTTGGGAAATAAATGTAGAAAAATGTTTATCATGGAAATGAATTAACTGTATATTATATATATTTTTATTTCACAGAACATATTTGATCGTCCTTATGACCCTGGCCAGGATAAGCAGTTAGAAGATGGATGGATGAATCATTTACTTAGTGCAAGATTATATTTCCATAAGTTTTGCCACTTTAAAAATAATTAAGAGGATGTATATCATTCATTTTTATAAGGTTTTCAGATTTTCTTCATTAATCCTTTTGCATTATTCCCCTCAGCTAATATTGTTTGATACATAAAAAGGCCTTCTCCTTTAACTAATCAGAAGCGCAATACAAATTAGAATTGTTTTTTTCATCTCCAGTGGAAATGTCCATTTGAGTTGAAAAATATTAAATTAAAGTTTTATAATGAACAGTAGGCTAGCATTTTTTAAATCAACTCAATTCCAGCACAGCTTTGATATCGATTTTTAAAATACAATATTGTTACACCAAATAACTTGAATTACAGCAAATAACTCAATGCTGTAGTCTCAGGGAGCACTAATTATTTTCACTGGTGAATTATTTTCTGCAGTTATTTGCTTGTTTTAATGAAAGAGACATTTTTTGATGTTCCTTTTTAAAGTAAAGCAAATTAGTGACTGAAGTAACATTATGACATGATTTTCATATGTCTCACACATTTAGTTTGTTAGCTTGGTTCTTCCATTCGAACTCTGGATAAGTGTGAGCTGGTTTGGAAAATAAGATAAAATGGAAAAGTAACCCAAAATTAGACCAATTTGCAGATTTTATGTACTTGGCCAAAAACCAATTGTAATCACAAATGCAGACTGACTTTATTGCACCTCATAAGGACTCAGTTATCGCCAGACACACATTATGCCATAAGGAGCATACACAAGGCTAGCACTATACGCTAGAGGATCACCTTTTGTGAGATTTCACAAATAGTCCATCAACTGCTTAGCTTTCTCTTGTTCCTTTAGTCTATTGCTATAGCACACACTAGATGTACATCATATATTTTAATGTTATTTCCATGCCCTTTGACACTCTGGGAGCTAATAAGGAATTGAATAAAAATCACAGGGATTCTGCTGATGCCCTCCTGAGGTGCTGTCAATGGCTGTGAATTCAAGAATGCGGAAAAGGAGTTTTGCATCAAATTTGTAATTCAAGTTACAAGTACGCACACCAAAGCCACAAACCTCCTTAAAATACGAAACCATGACTAATGCCAGGAGTACTCGTATGCCTTGTAACGAGGCTCGCTGCCTTTTTGATCAACAAACAACAACAATAATAGGTTTGATACAACAGTTCCTCACATAAGATTTGCTTTGATATCGGTCATATGACTAAGCTGACTTGCTTTATCTACTTGCAAGATAGAGTGATAAGCATTAAATGAACTCAACTGAGCAAAATTACCTTAAAGCAGGTTTGCTTGAAATAGCAGGGTCCTTGTTTTCAGTATCTCCTGTTAAGCTGAAGTTTTAAAGAGCTAAAATTCTTAATCTTTGAAATCTCAAAGCAGGATATGCTGCTATTATGTTAACATCAACTAGAAGAAATAGATAGCAGAGTTCTCACTAGAATTTCTGTATACCATGGGCTGGTGTGTTGTTTCAGTTGTTATTAAATACAGGTTTAGGTTTAAGTACTATGTTATATTCTTAAAATAATCAAAACTGGCATTCAGTTAGATTGCATATTGGTTTCATAGTACAATTAAGGGTTACCGGGTACTGGCACAAATTATAGCGCCAAGCCTTTTCTCATAGTGCTTCCACCAAATGACGTAAGGGAAAGAGTAGGCGAAGATCCATCTCATCTTCTTCAGAGTAAAAGATGCTGAATGCATTTAAAAACACTAAGATACTAAAATCTGAAATCTGATATGAAACCCTTTTTACCCTGCTATACAATGCAAAGAAGAATGAAAAAATAATTTAAAAAACAAGCAGTGGTGATGCACGTCCACTCCTCCTCAGTCTGCCGACAAAGGCTGATGCACCGGAAAGTAGAGGAACTGATATGACAACATTTATTACTGTGATTACTGGAAGTGAGCCTCGCAGCCTCAGGCACAGAGGCGCACACACGCATCGGCAGTTACACATGGGTCTGGAGATGTCAGCCGGTTTCGCTCTCAGACTCATGATGCGCTGTCAATAAAAATTTGTAACGGTGATAAAATCGTATTAGTCCCCATTTAAGCCTACGCAGTGCATGCACCGCAGGGTAGTATGTGAAATAATTTCAATATGTTGAGTTCGATATGGGTCTCGGGCCAAAGGCCTAGGATACCAACTGTTCTGTCATTTTTTTTTTACCCAGAATGCTTAAATATTCAAACTACCACTAATTTAACTGCTAATTTAGGATTTTCAGTATAATTCCCATTATACTGAACATACAGAACATTGCTTTCACAAGATTCGTACACGCATTTCGTCAAATGTTGCATACTTGTTACTGCTTCCTCCACAATGACCACATAGAAAAAGCAAAAAAAGTTTTTTATATATTTATTTATTTTTTTATTACTGTAAAATCCAGCCCCTCATCGTCTTCCATAATCACTTATCTAATACTGGGTTGTGGTTCATTTTGGTAACTATCAGACCATCTAAAATCACTTACAGTTTAAGATTTTTAAAGCTCTTAATGTCACTAGTTTAATAAAAGTTTGGCATGTCGTTTGATTCCTTTATTTGCTATTTCTTGTGCCCTATGATACCTGGGATACGCTCCAGTGATCCCCCCTCCCCATCCATACTACTGGATGGCAGCTGGTTGATGAACGGGGGGCTAGACAGTATTTCTTAATTTGTTTCAGTTATTCATGTTTGGTTTTATTTGGTACTAATTCTTTACTTTACACTGAATAAAATCAATGCAATCTTTGCAAAAATGAGTCAGTCATGGTCTAGATTGAATCTTCACTCAGTGTCTTTCACAGCCAAATATCGGTGATTAATTAAAATTTATACATTGAAATATAAATTTAACACAAACATATTATTCCCAAACAGCAAGTTAAAATAGGGTACATGTTAATTTTTTACTTAAAGTATTGACTAAAACTGAATTTGTATTGTGAATCAGTGATTTTCTTTTACTAAATGAATGAGACATGAGGTGAAAATCCACATTTGGGGGCTGTCTGAGGCATCAAATGAAATGAAAGACTCTCTCTACTTAGGCAATTGTTAGGCCAGTCAACTAGAGACCTGGGTCACCTCTCAGTGTTCTCATGTGAGATTGCTGCACAAGCATGGCTTCCAGATAACGAAATCCTCATTTATTTGAAAGTATGTTCAAAATAAACATTATGCTACTGATTTTCATCTGGAAAGGGAAATAAGGTGGGAGTGAATTAAACAATAATGAGAAATTCCATGGTTGCTTCACAGAGACTTATTGCCAAATGTGGTAAAACAGTCTTAGCTAAAGTGACACACTTTATATGCACATACACAATTCAACTGAACCAATACAGTTTTTCAGTATAAGAAACAGCCTATTTTGGAATATGTACATACATCCATTCCATCAATGCCGGCAAAATAACCACTACGCTATCTGCTGTAGCAATTTTGGAAAGAAAAGTTTTAATTTTGTTCAAGATGAAGTTGAGTAAGATTTATCACTACTGTGTATATCCAGAATAGACAGCTGATTGAATACACAGACATTTGTCAAACCCCTAGGAAACAATTTAAAATTACAATTATGCTGCAAAGTGTAATACCCAAGCAGCATTTGGTATTATTGAGTTATTTTGTTATTATGACTTGTAGCATGCAAAATTAGTCCCAAAATTAATTATCGTTTACATTTTCAATCTTCAACGATGCTCTTGCAAATTTCCAGAGAGTAAATGCAAATGATCATACATTAAATTATGTTTAGTAATAAATTTTCTCTCAATTATGCGTGTATATATATATATATATATACACGCATAATTGAGAGAAAATTTATTACTAAACATAATTATATATATATATATATATAGCGAACATGTTAATTATTGTCCACTTCATTCATAAGGCTACTGTTGTACCCTGAAGCTATTGCCCTGTGCTTCCAGGGATTAGCGGCTAAAGACAATGGTTGTATGGACTTCAGTACATGGTATGAATAAAAGCTCAAATATAATTTGCTAATACATAAATTTTAGTACTATATAACATTAAGATCCAGCAGTATCTATTAGCTGTGTGTCCGCAATTTACATGATGATGCGTAAAAAATTTGCCGCGTAGCATATTGTTGGATTTTACAGTCCATAGAATATGTCATAAATTTCCAAAATTTGGAAGATATCATTGTTTACTGAAATATCACATAATTTATGCATTTAGATGTTAAAAAAATCTTAAAACATAATGGACTGTAGCATGGGGAAAATTACATGTTGTTTAAGAAAATAACTCATTTGAGCATCTGAAAAATCAATGTTGGTTCAAATAATATGGAGATATTTATAAATTGCAATTCCTGTCCTGTATCTAGGACATATAAAAAAGGAAAAAAAACAACCATGTATTCAGTTCAGCTGCTCTTTGTAGACTAAATTGATCTTATCTTTAGATCTACAACTTGAGAACAGCCTTTGATGTTGACAAACTGACAAAAAAGTGTCCATATACCTCTTTGACTATACCTAAAGTTCTATACTGTATTTATGCAAACACAATCCTTTCCTTTTTCATGTGATATAAATATCATATGGTAAAAATAATCTGGTGAAAAAAAGACATTTACACAGTAAAATGTACCTAGAATTAATTTAATCATTTGTATCTATGTAAGTCCACCTGTTCATTTTCTAAACTGCTGAGAGGTATAGTGAGAATTTCATCAGATTTAAAAGATTTAATCAATTTTATGGCCACAATTTAACTAACTTTATCAAGTCTAACTAAAATAAAGTTATTTTGGTCAGCTACATGTAGAAGTGGAATGTACTGATAAATGGTTTAATTTTAATTGTAATCAATATTGTAGTTCATATTTAAAGTGATCTTAGTCTCAGATATGTCAACTAAACTCTTTCAAAACACTACAATA